CGTTTGTGGCGAGATGAAGTTGTAATCGACTCAAATTATGGCCAGATGCTGTTGGGGTTTGCCCGTGCTCGTTGGCTGGTAGCTAGCAACAAGTAGCCGGTAGCCGCACCGTCTACCGTCTACCACTGCCTGAGTCAAGCATTCGTCTGCAGTTGTTGTTGTTAATATAGACCTTGACTTTGAAAGCGTATAAGTTGCTAGTGCAGTTGCATCAGCGGTCGGTGCGAAACGTGGCTGAAACCGAAAGCAAAGGCCAAACCCAAACTGGTTAATCTCAACGTGTCATTCGCTTTCTTCGGTGCCAATTTAACTTGTTTAATACTCTTTGGTTTTTAATGTCGCTTGCTGCAAATTTATTAAAATCATGCCGCTGAATTGTTATGTAAATATTATTTAAATAAGGCATTTACTGTCTACTATCTACAATTGCAAGTGTTTTTCTTAATACGAGAATGAATTAGATATATCATTTCTGTCTGCGGTAAATCGTTTATAAAATATTTACGGGGTATTCAAAGATATCATTTTTTTTATTACCATATAATTATCTTTATTGGAAAGATGAACTAACGTATGAGACTTAATTTATTAACATATACATTTTTATTATTCACTTTGATATCTCATTTTTAATATTATAAACCATTATTTTTTTATATTTAAATTTCAATAAAAAATTTTTGGAATAGTTGCAGCTGTTTAAATTGCAATGCTCATAACGTTCAGCTAATTAATTATGCCCCTAACCATTCAAAACATACAACTAGGGTATAATGATTGTTTGAAAATGTATGTAACAGTTTGTATGTAAGTATATATATTCATGGTCATAATTCTATGTTATATCGAATGAGTTTTAAAACTTCTTCTAGCCGTAATAGTCGCAAAATTTGGGATATATCTTCACTTATAGAACACACAGAGCCAGTATATTTAATTTTTTTTCCAGCATATGTTATTGTTTTTTAAAGTAAAATTCGTATTTTTTGACTAAAGCTTGTTTTGGTAAAAGATGATTCAGGGTATCTTTTAGTTGGTCACTCCCGTCAAGTGTACTCTTAATTGTTTTGAAATTAATTTATTTCTATAACAAACAATAGTTGAATTCGCTGGCGAATTGTCGATTCTCGAGCCAAAAATACTCTTGTCGAAAAGCCTTTTACGTTCAATTTTGGTTTACCAATATGCTAGGTGCATGGGGCTCCATAGTTTCGTGCAGACAAAGCATATTTTTGTCTAAGCAAATAAGTACGCTTAAATAAGCAAGCATGTGCAACCAAATGGGTAAGGTACGCGTTAATTAGCAAGGTGTGCACTCAGAAAAATATAATAGATACACCTTAACTATATGATATTCACGTGTAGGTTAAGTGAGCCACTTCAACAGTGGCTGCCATAATTATTCGCTAGTATTGCCAAATAATTGAAAACCAGAAATAATGTCCCTCAAAATTTTTGAAAGATAATTGGATCTTTGGATCGTCTTTGTGGGATTGCTTCCCAAAACCATAATGGGCTATTGTTTTGTACGCCCTGAGATGACGTGACTTTAAAAAAAAAAGCCGCAATAACATGTACTATTTATGTTACACATGAATAGGTAGGAGGTAATTAATTCATCTCTTTATGTATAACGCGGGCCAAGTGTATACAATTTGAGAAAGTATATAATTCAAAATTTATATGTCTAATATTTACGTGTATTTGCATATTTGACTTCTGGGTTTTGGTTTTAAAAAGCCATAACTGAAATGAATGTAATCGCCAAGTGAATGGCAAGTCGTCAAATTGTGGTTATACTAGTGAATAAATAAACAACATACACACATACTCTCTCATTTAGGCATAATGAAGTTTGTATATAAATACGTAATAATTAAGTAGATTACATAACTGGCTTAAGATTCCAGTTGGGAGTGAGATACAACTGGCGAGTGAGAGAAAGTACGCACAGGTAAGCCAATAAGCCATTTACCTTACCACCTGGATAGGTAGGTCACTACACAACTGTATCGGAGCTCGAATCACCGTTCTATTGAATGCTAAAAGCCCCTTCAATGCAAATGGTACACGTCAAATAATCAAAACATATCCAATACAAGCAACGTAATTGTCGATTTGCGACGGCGAGTGCCACCATTTGGCCCCACTTGAACAATTTAAATATGGATGTATATAATGGCATAAGTATGTATGAATAATTTATGGTTGCAGCTAAGACTTGTTGACTGTCTGCGCTGATTAGTATCAGCTAACAATTTCAATGTTGGCTTGAATAGAGCCGATGCTGAACAATGGGGCGTATCCAATTAGATGGCGTAAATTGCTGACCATGCGCAGCTTACAAATGGTTCAATTCGATTATTTATAAATAAAGCTGGGGCGAGGGTAGTAATAAGTAGAATGAAATTCGAGGAGCTATGTTATGTGTTTTATATTTGACTTGAAGGCATGCTACAGGCCCTTTTAACTGTTGGGGTCTGCAACTCGTGACGGGGACAACAATAGCACCACAAAAATTTAAACGAATTCAACTATGAAGGTCATTTGCTTGGTATCTTAAATTAATTACCTTACTTTTAATAAAAACAAATGCAATTTTCAACACAATTATTATGCCACTTTCAAACTTGTGTGTTTGTATGTAGCGTGGTTTTAGTGTGGTCTTACAGTTAGAGCAGGTCTCGTATAAACAATAGTTCGTAATTTGTTTTTAAATATGCTTTTAGAGGTACTCAACAGAAACTGGTATGAGTAGCTAGATTAACAAATAATGTCAAATTATCTATGTATAAACCCCTAATTAAATGTTACTTATGCCCTAAGAGTGGGTATTTTAAGTTTCTTGTGAAATATGTAATGTATTGTGTACTCCGACAACAATAACAACAGTAAGTCAATATCAAAACTTATATGTCTATCATTTAAAATATTTTGGTTCATTAAATATAAAGCTTGATTTTGTGGAAAGTGTAATATTTATCTATTTAAAGACTAGTTGTTATCCGAAAAGTGTTTACTTTTTCAAAAAAATATTTGCAGGAAAAAAGCTTAGTAAAATCTACAAAAAAAATTGTATAACATATTGTTTGACTTAACGTTTCTTCTTATTGGAATAATTTTATATTTTGGGATAAACTTATAAGTGGACACGAGACTTACCGAAGTTTCAAAGGAAAATATTATTTTTCAAGTGATAAATAATTAAACAATATATATTAGTTAATTATATAATATGCAGTGATATGCGCAAAGTGATAGAGAATAAGCCACAGACACTTGGAATTTATTTAATTGTTATATTCTGTCAAACAAAATATATTAAATATCTAATACAAACTATTTTGCTATCTAGTGTTAGCAATGTTCAATGATATGCATATGCAATGATAACTGACCAATCGTTATTCAAAAATAGATTTATTTTTGTTTAATGTCTATTACTTACCATGCCAAACTGTTCTTTCCTCAGGCAAACTTGCACTTGCGAATGTGAACGTCTCGCCCAATATGCATCAACTTAGTACAAATATTTCACTTTTAATTGCTCACGACTGCAACTGCACCGCGAATATGGGCCAACCAGCACAATGCTTATAATTCAGCAATTACCGAATCGAAAACGCGAATTCCACGGAGAGTTGAGAAAATTATATCAATATTGTAGGCGAGTAATATTGATTTGTTTGTGATAAACATGCAGCCTTAATAGCTACCCATTCACAACTCGACACCTGTTCATAGGTGAGCGCTGAGCTTTAATCCACTGCTTGCTTGATTTCGGTCCGTTGGTAAATCTCTTTCTACCAAGGCCCCAAGTTACTGTCAGCGGCAAACTAACTGGCCAGCCGTTGAATTTGGAGCTTTTATAACGAATCGACATCGGTTCCCGCGGCGACTGCACAACGCCAGCGCCTAGGCCAACGAGGCTGCCTGCGTTTGCGTTTGTTAAAAGCCAGTTTGCCGCTGGTGGCGCTGCAGGCGCAGGCATATGCGCTGGAATTGCCGCCGACTGCGAAGAAGCTTGCTTAGTTTTTACTCTGCTCTAATTTATACTCATACCGGCGGCCGCGGGTTAGAGAGACGAGGAAAATATGTACATAGCAAGTGCTACTGAATGCGATCAGCAATAGTTTTTAATGGCTTATACTTGCAGTATATACGTCAGTCCATGGGCCGGTTGTCACTTTTGGCTAGGACCCGTAGAGCAGCGCTTAACAAACTGTGCCAAATGGTATTTGTAAAACTTTGAGGTAAACTCACATATAAAATAGATAGTTGTACATACATACGCACACACACAGATACACATTAGTAACCCCATCGACCTTTTCGGAGTGAGGCTGTTGTAATGCGACAAAACGTGGAATGGAAACGGCGTACATACATATGTGACCTAGAAAGTTTTTCTTTCGGAAATGTTACGAAAATTGTTACGTTTGTGTAACGTTGATATATAGGTAATTATTGCATTAATTAAGCATTTGGTCATATACTCAAGATCTGACCTATATTTGTCAGACTCCTACATATGACTAACCTTTACAAGTATTAGCTCTTTATTTTCCGATTGTATTGCAGCCTCTGCTACTTCCAAAATTCAATAGCCAAACCCACATATGTGTCAAAATAATTTATTCAATGTAAAACAAGTAAGAGGTTCTTGTCCGGATCTTCCGACTAGGGTATACCTTGAACCCTCTCATTCCTACAGTAAGTGCAGCACGCGCTACCCGCTCGTTTGTAGTAGAGATAGTAAAGATAGATTTTTCAAAAAAATGATTCCCTTGGCAGAGTTTGAAATTGACTGCATTACTTGCTGCCGCCTCGACTCAAAAGCAACAATTTAGTCTTAATAAGAAAAAAAAAAGGAATTAAAATAGCAGCACAAAAAACAATAGAATCGCAATTGCAATACTGTTGATAAGATTTAAAGAAGACGCGGATGTGGTTTATACTTTGTATTTTTATGTAGCATATATGTACAGACATATTTCAAATTTTTATAATAAATGAACGGAACATTATTAATAAATAATTGGCAAAACTTAAAGGGTTCTTTTGAATAATATTGACTTAATATTTTAACACCATGTATTCGTAACGCTTATTTCGATCGAATTGTTAAACTCAATCTTCCATGGAACTGGGTATAAGTTTCCTTCAAAGTAAACATAGAGTAACGTAAGGACGCTTAAAATACCTCATTCTGATCACCGTTTGATTGATCAGCCTTTTGCCTAGCACGAGCAAGTTTAGCCGACAACTCGGATGAACGAATTGTTTTGTACTGTGAAAGATAACAATTAGAAATGCTCAATAGTGTGTTTAATGATGGCTGAATATCTTTACCTCGCAGAAGTTTTTCTGTAGCACAATTTGTGATATGAGTCGACGGCTCTCCCGCTGGCCAAAATAACTCTCGATGGTGTGGGGCGAAAGCGCAAATAGTTGTTCGCCACTGAGCGTATGCAGTCGCTTGATAATGTTGTCAGAGAAGCCCTTTCCGCGCAGCCATTCCTCCACCTCCCTGGGCTTGGAGTTCTGGTTGATATATATTTCAGGTGTCTTAAGAATTTCGAGGTCCCTGCGATGCTGTCTCTGCTGAAGCATGATTCTCAGTTCATCGTTAACATCACCCTGTATAAGGTACGTCTCATCATCGGCATCGCAGTCATTTCGAGCGCGCATTGCTGTTATAGAAAAGCCCACAATTTTATTGAAATTTAGGCTACTAGTGAATAAGTAAATTTAAAACCCACCTGCAAGTGCGCCAGCTGCGGCCATGTTTCGTTTCAAAGTCCCACTTGGGGTAGGAGTTTGGCTCTCACTAGCCGGAGGCATCGGTGGTGGGATGGGCACATTCGGCATTGAGTAGGAACGAGGCATGTTTTTGGAAGTACCCACCGGTTGCTGAGACTCACGCTCAGCAGCTGGCACATACATCGCCATCGTATTACGATAAAGCGGATTATTGTTCTCTCCTTCTCCGTTCTCCATAGATACAGAGGCCAACGATTCATTATCGCGAGCATTCCGATTAGGTACGTGCTCGAAATTGTATGGAACTAACACGGTATGCGGTACGTAGCCAATGCTTCCGTAAGAATTTCGCGCCTTCCACCAATTTCTGGAGTCGTCAATAATCTGCATATGTTATAACAAAATTTGTATTAATATTGTTGAGAGATTTAATAAAAGGCTTCGAATGTACCTCTAGATATTCGCCCTTTGTAACACTTAATTCCTTATCGTTCGTGGCCTTCTTATTATAAGCCACCTCTGCGATATTAACGTTACGGCTCTGAAGACGACTTAGCCAGGTGCGGTTGCTTGCTGGACTTAGGGGTATGGGTTCTGATGGGAATGTTTGTGTATTCTTGATCGCAGGTGCTAAGTACTGCACCTCCTCATCTACTACCCAATCTGGCGACCAATCGTCATAGAAAATGGGGTGATATACCCCAACGTGATCTTTAAACTGATCCTTTGGTACTGTCCAATTTGGGCCCAGACTAAGCCACAGGCTTTTCTCATTAGAGTCCAATGTACAATTCAGAAAGCCAATTGTTTCTCGGCGCAATAGTGGATTTACGACGCTCTCCGGCAAGTGAGCACCGGCGTAAACATCGTTGCAAACGTTCACAATAGTTTGCAGAGAAATGAAAACATTGTGAATTGGATCAGCGCTTTTGCTGAAATGGTTCTGCAATTTGACCGCATAGTTGAGGGACAACTTAATTTTGGCTAATATGTCACAGAACTCGCTCTCGATTGGCGGACGCGATCGTAATACCAGTAGGCCTTCTCCATGAGGGTTATGCTGATTTTTACGAGACTCTAACTCATGCAATGCCTCGGCTGCATAGTGTAATCTTGCAATAAATCGTTCCACATCCTCGCTACGTTAAACAAAATTAAGAAGAAACCAAAAAATATTAGTTAGACTTATTCAAATTGAAAGTTAGTTAAAACCTGAGGTATCAATAACATATCAAAGAGATATTTTTCTTAACATTTTTGTTTGATTTTAGCCCAACAGAAAAGTGCGAAATATGCTTTAATTTCAAGGGCCCCGAATCCAATGATTTTTACAAATCAATGAAATATTAATTTGGACTGATGTACAATGTAAAGCTGGAGGACTGAGCTGCGGCTTATAGAAAACAAGTTCTTCCCTTTGATAATTCGGTTGAGATCGAAATTACTTACCATATACAAATAAGGGTGAGGACTTTCGTTAGGTTTAACTTTTCTAACTTTTCTAACTAAAGCTAAACTAAATACAAAAGAAAGATAACATACAAACAGTGATTGAGCACCTGCACATCGCGATCGGTTTGCTCGCGATCTTGTGCATTTTTCTCAGCGGCAATTCCTGCCACGGCCGCTGCTATCCCGTATTGATCCTTAGCCTGTTGATTGGCGGGACGCTCGGGCTTGGGCAAGCGTATGGGCGTTTTGTTCCGGTCCACTGTGACTGTCGAGCCGCTGCTCAGCTGACGCAGGTCTTCCACCAAATGTACTGCATTTACGTCACTAACCTATTGAAAAGAATTTTACATACTGGATATTGTTACAAGACTCTTAACTCACTTGGAAAATGTGCATTTCAGTATTGCCCAAGGAGATTCCCGCAACAGAAAAAATCAATATATTATTGTATGTTTCCAATGGATCGTCGCTGATAAAGGCTGTTGGCTCCGTTATTAGACTACCCGGAAAGTTCTCAATTTCTTTCATATCCTTATTAAGCATGAGCAGCCATTGGCCATTGAAGCACATATACATCTTATGCGGCCAGATGCCACCCGTCTTATCTAACTCAATTAAGAGTTTCATTTTCTCTTTTGGGTTCTTGACTTCAGACTCATTTTTCAATTTAAAGGTGACCAAGTGCTCCAAGGCATATGTAGGCTTATTATCATTGTTGTCGTAGCCGTCATTGTGCTTATCACCGGAATGAGCACCATTTTCATAGCCGTTGCGGAGCATGCTACTTTAAGGCAAGTTAAAGGGAATTAATATTTTCACAAAAACACATATACTCATTTAGTTGTAAAGTTGTACTCTATCTATCACCGCATGGTCCTCTATCAATTAGATATTAATTTAAATGAGCGCGAATCCTATAAAGTAGATATTTTTTAAACAGTATCAAAGACGATATAGTTAAACTGTCTGTTTGTTTATCTTCACGTGTCTGTAAGCATTACACATCGTAATACAAGTGTTGTGAATGTAGGCAGTACATTTTTCGAAGTCGGCAAGGCTTAACCACTACCACAAATTGCTGCTAAAAAACGATCGGTCAAAAATAATATTCATTTATACACACTTTTTGCAGACGTTCTCGATATTAGCTCAATTTAGCACTTAGCCAAGCACGCATTTCTGGCGTACCTTACCAACATCGGACTACTGCCCTTAACACATACCTAGAACCCTATTGTAATATTTCTTAAGAAACCCCATAACAGTACCACACTCACCCAACATAAAGAGTGTTTAATTCACATGGCGTTATAAGGCTATAGCCTGAGAGAACTATACCATATATAATATTAATTACAATTATATAAAGGAAAGAATGGTATTTTTCTACACGTTGAAGGTTAGTTACCCTTGTAGAATTATGACTAAATGCACTATAAAATTTAATGCTGCGTGGGCCGCCTTAACGTCCATCCCTTTGCAAGTCTCAGTTAAAAATACCTTATCAAGAATAAACGAATGAAAGGAGGATTGTGAACCTCCTTATTGCTGATCGCTTAAAAAAATATAAAAATTTTCAATAAAAAACTCATTTTTGATCGATTCTTTATAATTGATATTGTACAACGACAATGATAAGATTTTGTTCATTTTTAACTGCTCACATATAACTTCCACGGGTCTTTCGTACGGCAGCCATATGATATTGTGACCGGCACTCAAAAATATTTTGTGCATAAAAATAGCAGCATTATGAAATGATATTGGTCGGAAACATCTCCGCCGTCACACTTTTCGTTTGGTTTTTGTCCAATGTCCGACTTACTGTTTAGCCATATGTGCTAGAGCACAATTTTTGGATGATATTTAAACTGAAGACTTGAATAATATATCGTCAGACAAAGTGATCAAATTTGGTGGACATACCCCCAAACAAAACGCAAAATCGATACTTCCTTAAGGTGCAGCTGAAGCTCTTTACAAGGAGAACAAAGTATTGTTCAGTCGGTCGCAGCCAAATGGAAACTTCCTACTTGATTTGTGCCGATGTACAAAAATGAATATAATCGGGCTATGCTTTTGTGTTCTATGAATATTCACCTACGCGTAACCACCAGGGATCGAAAATATTTTAATGTCCTGTAACCTGGTTTGACCATTGCAATGCGACAAGAGTTCTATTCGGTTGCTAATGCGTTTAACCAACTCCGTGCGACTGATTCTTAAACGAAGTAAATTTCAATTTACAAAAATCCGTACCAATAAGTTTGAACATATATAAATATGATGATTTATTAGAAAAACGAAAATATATATTTATTTGCGGGGTATTGTTTCTGCAATACACCTGTACGCTTGTGAATGTCGTGACTGCCGTGCTGATTAGATAAACGCCATATATCGCCTGGTTATGCTTTGCACCTTATTGTCAATGCCACAGTTTTCCAGTTATCGCATTTTGGTAGAAAATTCTTGGCAAATGAAGCAATTTTTATAAACCGCCCGTTACATAAACCATTTGTTTAAAGGTAAACCAACATATCGTTAGTCCCTAATGACGGTTAAGTCGTTTTTTATTTTTTCAAACTTTTTTTTTGTCATGACATCATTACCACATGCGATAATGACATCCATATCGCCTTTATCTTGCAGATCTTGATTTATTTTGTATATCTGCCGTTTTCTTATCGATCGGTTAGCGAATGACTTATTCTATTAATACACATACGCGAGATGAGCAATGCTTTACCTTAGAGGAGATATTCAGGCACTGAGCTGCTCTTTCAAAAACTTCCACTCTCGACACGCCGCGAATCAAAGTTGAACTAACTGCCAATGGCAATCTCCCAATGGAGCGATATCAGTTGGTTCTCTGCGCAGCGACTATTAATTGATTGCTCGAAATTGTTTCGGGTAAGTCTTATCTCTCCGTACGAAAAAAAAAACACTTTTATCTACCTGTTCTTTTTATACCCTTAACCCATTGAAAATGGGGTATCAAATAGGGTATAATGGTTATCTCCAAATGTATGTAACGAGAAGAAGGAAGCATCTCCGACCTTATAAAGTGCATATATTCTTTTCGATCTCGGAAACTATAGCGGTAAGAGGCTTGAAGTTGAATCCTGGTGCCCGTGCAGCACGCGTTTTTAATATTTAAATTTTTTTCAAATTAAAAAAATGTTGTAATCAAATTTAATCACCAGTATTTCCCATAGTGTGTGGCTAAGGGAAGAAACAGCCCCGCCGCAGCCGCAGCGTAAACTGCGCAACAGGCGGCGTGTGCGTGTGTATGTGTAGAGGAGTTTAGGGAACCCCCTAGTCGGGCAGACCCAAGTTTGGCACGCAAACTTTTGTTATTGTTTTCATTGCTGCTTATTGACGCCGCATATTTTACTAGCAACATTATCAAAAAATAGTCAACACCGATACTCACACATATATATTTTAGGTATATTTATATAATAGATATGCTTTCGACCAAATAACGCCTTAGCAATCAGTAGCAAAGTGCCATTTAATAATCAAATCAGGCATTGAAATCTAGACCGATATATATAATATTCTAGAAGCAACAATACAATTTTCCCAAAAAACAGGATGTCGATATCGATTCTTATCGATTGCTTGAAAATGGTGTAAGTTATCGATTATCGGAAACAAACTCAATCCTCGCAGGCACTAGGAGGACCTACAGCTACTTCAGCTACTTATTTCAAGTTTCTAGCTCTTAAAGGTTCTGATATCCTTGCGTTCATACATACGGACAGACAGACAGACGGACCTGGCAAGGTCGACTCGGCTATTAATGCTGATCAAGAATACAACACATCTTACATACAACATGCACAAATACATTATACGCTTTTTACCCATTTCAATGGGTTCGGGGTATAAAAATAGTGAGGTAGTATAGCATTCCCACTTTGAGTCCGGATATAAAAAAGTTCTTATAAAATATGAGTATTCTCGAGAAATATAAGGAATTGAGCTATTAAACGCACCTGTGTGCCAAATATAAAGTCTCTTAGAATGAAACGTTTGTACATACGGATGGAGAAACATATTACATTTTATATATTAACTACAACTACATGGGTATATTTTGAAAAAGTACAAGTAACTAAAAGATTATATTTGTTAAAATATTTATTGAATAGTTCAATGATATTTTACAAGTGGCTGCGTAATCTGGCGTATCAGTCAAGATTAGGAACATCACCTCAAATCATCTTTGTATAAATTGGGTTTCTGTTTTAATTCGTTTTCGCGTCTGCCATCGCCAAATTATAGCACATCATCACAATTAACCAGGCGATTGCTGCAAATGAAAGTAAGAAATCAATCATTATACGTATGTAATTACTTTGGTCGCTTATCACACTACCCCTTAACTGAATATTAAAAGCAAATCAACTTTTTTGCACTGCATCGTGACTCAGAGCTGCCTGTCTTATTGATAGCGACTTTTGTTGACATGTGAGTTGAGATTTGCGATTGTAGTTGTGCAACAAGTACATTTCACTAAGACGCACTTCAGCAACACTCACCTGTCGGACTGCAATCGGAAGATATTTTCTGGTACAGCCTCTACATTGGAGTTCAGACACAACAATTTGGTACCGTTTATGGAACTGTATGCATTTAGTAGATTGGCATGAGCTTGCGTTTGCTGCTGCTGATGACGCTGATGTATTTTAGAGAATTGCTCAGCTGAAATGGTTAATTTTCATGGGTTAAAGCATACTGTATCTGTAGAAATTATTTCCAGTCTCTTACCCAATATACAATTAAAGGTTGGCCCAACAGTTCCGGCAATAGTCTGCTCCGAAATGCCTCCAATTATAAGGTCCACATCTGTCCAGCTCTTGTACACGCTCTTTAGTTTATCCACGAGCTTTAATTAGAGTCAAATAATATAATAATAAATATTTATGTAAATGTTAATTTTATTAAAGTGAATTGAATGAAATTAAATGACGATAGCTTTAAAACTGAGAGACTAGTTCGCATCGAAACATACAGAGGGACAGACGGGCATGGCTATATCGAGGGGGCTGTTGATACGGATCATGAACATATATACTTAACGAAGATCTTTCCTTCTATGCGTTGCCGATTTCACGACAAAGCTATAATACAATATTAACCATGCAAGGGTATACAAAAACACTCATGTGAACATAATTATGCATATTTATACAAGAATTCTGTGTTCCTTAAGCGATCTTGATCAAATTTGGCTAAAATTGATGTGTGAATCGAATTTTAATATTAATATTTTTGAATTTGCTGGAAAGGGGGCGGTATCAAAAAAAAATGAAATACACTACATTTGTACACAAAGTAAGTAAGTAAGTAAGTATACATACTTAGCGCAATTCTAGTGGTCAACTTTAATGACTCTAGCTCAGAAGAGCCAGGAGAAGTGCTCAAAACCCCGTATTTCAATACCGATTTATGTTGATTGCCTAGAACGGGGCAAGTTTCGGAAGTTCTCTGAACTGCGCGCTGAGCTACCATCACAGCTGAGTATATATGCTATACTTAATGGGGTCGGAGATTCTCGATTTTGCCTATTACACACATTGGCACACAACGATTACCCGTTTTTGATGGGTTCAGAGCATAACAAATTGATGTTTTGAGTAACAGCCTTATACTTTTGTACACATGGAATCAAATATACTTGAGTCCTGAGCACAGCGGTCATAAATATTCAGCACCGTAATTATTCTAAAATGCATTCACTAGCTACCAAGCTAAGTGTGTAAAGTCAT